AGCAGGAGACAGACAGCTTCTGTCCTAGCAACTTAAGCAGGAATTTAAAACCCACCCTGATTTAATATGCTTACGTCATATTCTTAACCCTTGAACCAATGATCACAACAATCAATAAGGCACCATCCCTGGCATTGGAGTTGGATAAGCCTCCTCTGAAGTTCAGGGTCTATGTGGAGAAACTAATATGTGGATTAGAAAGGAGGAAGGGAGGAATGGATGCTGGTAGGCAGCAACAAATATCCTTCATAGGGATGATGTAGTTAGGAAATTGTAGAGGGATGTGCATTTTGAGGTTCTGTGATCTTAGGTATGTGTTCCCAAAGAGTGAGAGCTGTAATGTGGGATATGTTATGGAGGACTTCCATCCCACCCATGGGACACTCACAGGAATCCAGGAATACCTGGCTCTCATGGAGACTACTACCTGAAACATACAGCACAGCTCTTGGGACAGAGTTTATTAACCCTTTCAGTAGCAAGAATCCATCAACACCCCACCTACTACCAGCATTAGGCTCACTAGTAACTCTCTGTTTCTAATCCTCCTAATAAAGCCAACACATTACTTTATTCTTTTTGGTTTTCTATATGTTTATTCATGCATTCTGCTGCCTTGTAACTTATAAACCATAATTTCAGCTTTCTCCTGACACCTGTTTCCTCATGGCCTCTTCATGTGTGTCTTTTCAGATTCTACTCTACCTACGAACCTCTCAATGCCGTCAGCTTCAGGGAGCTACATGGTGAGACAAATTCTGTAGCTAGGCTTTGAAAACTGGATAAAATTTGCAGACAAAGAAGAAAGTTGTATCATTTCTTAGATTAAGAAAAAAATATGTTAAGATATTTCTGGGGCAGAAGGAAGACCAATTCACCAGAGCAGGAGAACATGTTAGAGATGAACAAGAGAGAAATGTATTAATAGTTGGGAAAGTAGAGGGGCATGGATTATAGAAGCTTTGGAAATAAGTATGTATTGAAGGATTTTAAGTAAAGCACTCATTTGACCTTTTCATCATTTCCATAGCCAAGTCGGCTTTGTCTGACACCTTATCTTTTACCCAACATTCAGATATTCCTTGTCCCTAATCTCTCTACTTGTTTTATCATGCCTATGCTGGGTACACCCTACTGGGCTAGAAGTTTAAAGTAAGGGGCAGCACTGACCTGTAAGACACACCATGTACCACTGTCCTACTGAGAAGTTATACCAGCTGTTCTCAACCCTATCAGACTCAGGGTCCCAATTTTATAAGAGGTATTTCTGTAATTCTCCCTTTGCTGTCTTAAGTAAAATTCATCTGAAATATGATGTGTCTACATACCTAATTGTTATTGGATTGTGTCCCCCCAGAAATTCTATGTGGAAGTCCTAATCCCCAGTACCTCAGAATGTGACCATATTTGGAGATAGGGCCTTTAAAGAGGTAATTAAGGTAAAATTAGGACATTAAGATAGGCCCTAATCCAGTGACTGCTGTTGTTATAAGAGGAGGAGATTTGGATACAGACAGGTGCCGTGAGAGGGTGACGTGAAGTCATACGGAAAAGATAGTGATCTATAAGTTAAAGAGACAGGCCTAGAACAGATCCTTCTCTCACAACCCTCAGAAGAAACCAACCCTGCTGACATCTTGATCTCAGACTTTTAACTTCCAGAACTGTGAGAAAATACGTCTTCGTTGTTTAAGCCACCTTATTTGTGGTACTTTATTGTGACGGCCCTAGCAAACTAATTGACTATAGGATATTATTACAATGCCTTTATTATAATATAAAGAATACATAAATGGAGTGTAATTTACAATAAAATGTTTACAGTATTTTCATATGTAAATGCTCAAGCACAACTATACCAAAAGACATAATATTTACATCAATACTATGCATGCAACAGCTATAAGTCACCACAGAGTGTCCGTACAAATGCAGGCGGACACAGTGTACGGTACTGGCAACACGAATACAAAACCTTAAGCAACATTACCATTGGCACATGATTTTCCAACACAGAAAACAAGTCTTGGTAAAGTTCCAAACAAAACAAAGAGCAATCTTCCCTCAATTTACATGGTAGTTGCATTCCTGGAAAATTGAAGAAATACATTGTATTTATTTGTAACACAAGGATAGATTCTAGGCACAGGTAATTACAAATAGGTTTTTCATCTGCATGAATGTCCTTTGAAAGTCACAGACAGTTCTTCATTTTCCTGTACAGTTGCAGGAGGTCAGGATGTCTAGCATCCCTGGTCCACATCCCTCAGTGCCAGGACATGCTCGTGTCATGATGACAACCAAAAATTTCTCTTTATTCCCAAAATACGTCCTAACAGGGAGTATCACCTTTGTTGAGAATCACAGAGATACAAGAAGAGGAGAAAACAAAAGATGTAACTTACGGCTAACTTTTGTTGTTGGACCAGGCCCACTTTACTCCCTGTCAGCACTCCTCCTGCCTGGACATGGAAAGCTGGGGACTCAGCCACCTGAGACCACACAGCATCCAAGGTCAAGCAAGCAATATGCATTTTCTGAACGTGTTGAAATCCACAGTCTTGATACTGCCCTTAAGCTTCCTGTGTTTAAAGGCTCCCTTGTTGGCTTGAACTTCAGAGCCCTCAAGGTACTCCAAGCTTGGTAGGATCTGGCAGCTGTGGACATGCCATTCTCTCTGTGTGTTTTTGTGTGTTTTATATGTATTTGGGGGTCGGAGAGGGCTGAGGTGCTGCTGTGATTGCTGTGACAGCCTTAGAGAAACATCCTGACAAATCCCACTATTCATTTCCTTTCTCCTGTTCCTGGACTACTAAACATTCGTTGTTGGAGAGGTTCCACCGGAAAGTCGTGATTTCTATCTAACTAAAACTGGGCCCTCGGTGAGGCACCTGAGCCTCTGTCTTCCTCTGCCTCCTACCCAGGCATGTTCTCTACAGTGTCCACTCTCAATCTTTTCTACCCTCTTCCAGCACCTGAATTCTACCTTGTCTGATGTTCCACAGACGATTTTTGTGTCTTTTATTGAGACAACCGATATCGTCCAGAAGAACTTCCCTTTTTGTCTCCGAATTTCTTTTCTTCTCATCCAATAGGAAGAAAAGTCTCCTGTGCTGCCTATTTCTCCCCCTTCCAAGGGAACTTGCTCCATTGATTAAAGAGCATCAGTTTTCCCCTTTCCACTTTCTCCTCCCCCTCACCTTTGCTTGAAGACGTCCTGTCTGAGTAAGAACTCTCAAGTAGTAGAATCCCACTTGAATGCACGTTAGCCAGAAAAAGGGATTTTGCTCTAAGGAAACACAGGTGTCTCAAGAAACGCAAGGGTAGGTATGCCGTGGGCCTCAAGAGAGGATCTGAACAAGAATTGCAAAGTCATCAGCACTCTTTCTACCCTTCTTTTTCACTCATCTCTGTTTGCTTCATTTTTCTTTTTCCTGTACATTAACTTCTTGTGGCTTCCTGTCCACATGGTAGAATTCCAATTACAGGATAGAGACCCAAAGTGGTCTAGTTTGAATCAGGTCCAATCTCCTGGCCAAGTCCATGGCATAACAGGGACCAGACTTACCCTCCTGCCTGAAACAGCAAAACAAACAAAACATACGAAATAATGGGTTTTTGGATATGGATATTGGGTAGTGCAGGTCAAGGATCCCTGAGAGAGAGGAAACAAGTGAGGTGAGCCTTATAATGACCCAGCTCACAGTTTGGAAAGAGTTTCCAGGCCATAGTACAAGGAGGGAAAAGCCAGGTAGAGCTCTGGGGTCTCCTTTAGTTGAGAAGCAGCTGGGAGTCCAGGGAAGCCATGGTGGCTAGAGGAAGCAGGGCAGAGTACCAGAGAGAAGAGAGCTGGAGAGAGAGAGATAGAGGGTGCAAGGAGAGAACACTTTCGAGATCATCAGAGTCTTCAGCTGAGTACTGATCGCTGCATGCTTTGGAGGAAACTACTTGAGGCCAGGAAAAGAACCACCTGAAAGGAGCAGAGAGAACAATCCACGGAGCTCTCACAGGCTGAGAATAGTTTGTATTCTGACCAGTCAGCACGGTAAGCTTTGTAATCCACAAGGTACTGAGTAAAGTAGTCAGAAGGATATTGCGTCACCACTTGGGAAAAAAATTAATCCTAAAGCCAGCTCTAGTCCTGCCTAACAAGCTTAAAAGCAAACGTGAAAGAATCAAAGAGTTTCCAAATAGTTGCATCCCAGCACAAAGCTCAAGAATATTTATAGGAATACAAAACTATCCAGCACCCAACAAGGTTAAATTCATGATGTCTGGTATCCAGTCAAGCCCCTGGCCAAGGGAAGAAAGGAGAAACGAAGAGGCAGGATCAATGCTCCATCTACCTTGGAAATTCTGGAATGTTATATCTCCCCCTTTCCCATCTTAAGACTACTATTATTCTCTCTATACACCTAAGCACTGTTTGACTTATTATAACAAGCAAGCATTACTATTGTTATTTTAAAAAGACTTTGTGAAAAACCCAGTCAGGAGAATGAGATTACCAAGAAAAAGAAGTCGAAAGAAGTTTCTGTGCCATGCCAAAACTCATTGACCGCCGTTTTCCCCACTTCCTCTGCCTCCCTCTCTAGAAAGTTCTCACTTTTACCCTCATCTCTTGCCTTTCCTTCTCTTTCCAGGTTCTTTAGCTTAACACAGAATGCAACTGCAACGTGGCTAGTTTTTGGAGGAATTTTGTTTCTTGGTTTTGATTTTAAAATCGGCAGATTTTAGTGTTTCACGTGTACTTCTCAAAGAAAGAAAACACCAACATCCTCTCATAGCAGTTCAGCTGCCTTCTATTTGGCCGACCACCCCACTCCTTGGGGCAGTGGCGGGTGGCCGGTAAAGGCTCCACCAGCCCTGCTCTGATTGCCCAGAATCCACGTGCCCTATCCCTGAGCAGACAGAACTGAAACTTCAGCTGCATCTGCCCAGATTGCAAACGCGTCCTACATCTCTTTCCCCTCGGGTGAAAGCTCTTTCTGCCATGGGTGGGGACGGCCAGGTCTCCAGGCTGATGAAGTGAGGGCAAGCAGAAGTCAGCTGAGCGCGAAGAAAGCAGACGAAGGGAGCGGGAGAAGAGGTAGCGGGCCTAGACGGGCAGATAAAAGGACCACTCAGCGAGAGGGAGAGGCGAGAGTAAAGCGCCCAGACACCATGCGGACAGGGGGAGGAGAGAGAGCAGAGGGGGCGCGCGAAGGCTGAGCGCCCAGGCAGCCAGACCCCAGATCGGAAGAGCGGCGCTCAGGTCCGGGGTCTGAGTGTGCGGGCGGGGCGGTCCGAGGGCAGATCGGGGACCTCAGTGCCCCTGCCGCCAGCCGCCCACGATGAGCGAGGCCAGCCGGCTGTGCTCGGGCTACTACAGCCTCAACCACAGCTTCGTGGAGCCCTTCCAGTGCCCCCGGCGCGGCGAGGGGGCCGCGCTCCTCTACTGCTGCGGCTTCGCCGACCTCAAGTACTGCTGCAGCGAGCCGGGCAGCTACTTCCCCTACAAGCACAGCTACATGTGGAGCCTCAGGTGGGCAGGGAGCCCGCGCGTGCGGCTGCTGGCCGGGCCCGGGTCTGGGGAGGGGACGAGAGGTGCCACGCCAGGGGCAGGGAGGTCGCCTGCGTCCCCGCGACCCGCCCTGGTCGGGCCCCTCCGAGAAGACGCGGAGCCTCCGAGGCGTGTGGAGACTGGGAAGAGAAATCTCGCCTCGGCTCGGAGCGCCCCCGGGAGCCGGGACCCCCAGCCGAGGGCGCGCGCGGGAGGAGCGCAGGCTTTGCGCCCAGGGCGCACCGGGGCCCGCCCTGCCGGCCGCGCTCACTTTCCCGCCCGCCTGGCGGGAGTCGACTGCTCTCTTCTCTCGCCGGTGACCAGTCCCAGGCAGGCAGGTCTGCTGGCAGAAAGAGAAGACAGGCAAATAACCTAAGGAGAAGGTTTTAATTCCTCTTTTTGGTTTGTGTGGTCATGTGGTGTATTCGAATAGAATCGAGGCTCCTTTGGGACTCATTCCGAGGCATTAAGGACCAGAGTATTTAAGTCTCCTTGGGGGATATGAAAGAATTCTTTAAAATTCTTTAAAATATCAAAAAGGTAGGGGTGTGTGTGGTGTTGGTTCGTGAGGGCGTGTGCAAATGACTGGACTGTATAACTTGCCCTTTTCAGATATCAACCTGAACGGAATTGAAGAGACATAAACAGAGGTAGAGCTTTTCGTTGCTATGATTACACACTATAGAACTGTTCTAGGACATCCCCTTTCTCAACACCTGAGCCATTTGGCTATTGCTGGAAAGTGAAGAGACTTTATAAGGCAGTCTTGTTTCTGTTTCCTATGATGAGAATTTTACTTGTTCCTACTAGTATTTACACAGCCGTTTTAATTATGAAGTGCTTTTCTCCCTTGCACTCTAACAGACTGTAAACCTTGAACCTGATTCTGTGAACTGAAATAAAATCTTAAAGCCCCCCAGCCCACTGAATGGGCATCCTCTTGGCCAAACCCCTCCCCCTCCACACCCCCCAAAAAAACTTGAAAGCTGAGTTGCTGCCAGGAGGAGAGGGGAGGTCAGACATGCCTAGTTATGCCCCATCCCTTTTGGAGTTATTCTTTGTAATAGTAAGATACAGGCCTCAGGCCATGCAAGACAAAGCTTAAACCATACCTGTAGGCCATGAATTTACTTAACAGATCACCTGAGTTTTGGTCGGGTGACTTGTCTCTGATTAACAGATATCTTTTATCTCAAAATATTCCAACCCTTTAGACAAAGCTCATTTCTTTAACCAATCACCAATCAAAAAATCTTTAAAACCACCTATAACCTGTAAGCCCTGGCGTGGAGATGTCCTGCCTTTTTGGACCAAACCAATGTACACCTTCCATGTATTGATATATAATTTTACCTGCAATTCCTGTCTCTCTAACATGTATAAAACCACACTGTAACCCAGCCACAGCATGACCACTTGCTCCAGGCTCCAGGCTTCTTGGGCGTGGCTCTCCGGGCCATGGTAACACACACTGGGCTCAGAATAAACCTCTTTGAATTATTTTACAGAGTTTAGGTTCTTTTCTGTTGACAATTTTTTTTTTTTTGTGATAGAGTATTATTTCTCCCAATCTCCTGGCATGAACCCAAATTCTGATTTGGCACACATGCTAAACCTACAGAAAATGACTAAATGTTATTTCTTGAAGCAATAAAATAATTTTTCTATATTGCAACAAATGTCTCATAAGGAGTACCTACCTTCCAGTAAGTTCAACTCACAAAGTTGTATTGTGCTGGAGCGGGGCAAAATGTCAGAAAATAATGACAGTTTATCCTTAGTGTAGGGTATTTGGGGAAGAAATCTGTATTGTACCTGCTTATTATCTGGCCTTTTAGAAAATAACATAGTAATCCATTTCTGAGTTTTGGGAGGCGTTAATAATGGCAGAAGCACCTCCAATAGGGACCAGCAATTCCTAAGTCAGACACGTTGGAAAATGTGCCTGGGATTTTCAGATCCCTGAATAGTTCCAAAGTGACAAGGAGCAGAAGCTATTAATATAAAACCTTCCTAAGGTTTATGAGAGCACGAAGGGACGATCAGCTTGCTGAGGTTTTCATTCAGCACTGACAAAATGGACAGTGCAACTGAGTTTCTGGGAAATGGAAAAGGTACTTCAACTGATGGTGTCAGCTGGCAATGTTAAACCTGGGGTTCCTGTAAGTTATTGAGCTCTGGAAACTCTATGGGGTGGTAAATTTATTAGAGCTTCGTTTCCCTCCTATTTTTTGCTCTCCACTTTTAATTTAAAATAGTCCAACTGTGAAAAATGTTCCGGGAGTCACTAGCCCTTGTTTTGAGATTCTGCATCTGCTGGAGAAAAGCATAACTGTAGCTACCAGAAGGTAAGTGAAGTTGATAAGTAGGAGAATTGCTGCTATAATATGACAGTAGCTTCAGGGCTTGAAAAGCAACTGCCGTATGGTGCTGCGAGGAAAGGATAATTCTTCCTTTACTCTGGCCCACTCCCATCTTTTTTCCTCGTATAAATCCTTGAATTCTTAGGATTTCCTTTGGTAACTTTCTCCAGGACCTAGGAAAATAATGCGCAATGGACAGGGCTATGCATGAGTAGCTAGTCAATAAGAATTTGTTGAAATGAATGTTTTAGGAGTCTTCTAGAACTCCATATTTACCCGGAGTTTATACCTAGAGTTTTGCATGCATAAAACAATGTTTCCATGAAGTGAAACTGTGACATTGCAACAGATTGCCAGGATTATGAAGACTTTCCTTTTATAACAGAAAGTAGACATGCCATTTTTGTTTGTTTTTCCTTCAAATCATGTGGTCTGGTTTTTTACTTTGTACATTAAAAGCCCACAATATGTATGCTGAATTAATTAAATTGAAAATTTCACTTTTAAATTGACTAAATTACTTTTTTACTTTGAAGATGTTTTAATAACTGGGTTCTCATTTTAGGACTCTTTCCAGATGTCTAGTGTCCTTTCTGCCTTGTGCACAGGAGGCTAGGCGTCTGCAAAGAATTGTAAAATGAAATAATATTAATTAAGTGGATTACACTGTCATGCATCTGGGTATAGTGAAGTGATCCTAACCCTCCCGACACTTAACAATCTACAAAAGTCAGCTTTGGTGCAAGCAAGCACAAAAGAGGAGTCACCAAACACAGGGAGTCTACCCCTTAAACAAGAGTGAACCAAGTGAGGGCAACTCCCAATTTTAAATATATAACTCTGTACTGACTGCAGCCGTAAAATTACCCAGTCTTCACCTGTCTGCAGGGCTGGGGAACTGGGCTGACAATAAACCGAGCACAAGGATCTCCGAAGTCTGACTCTATGTGTGTGGCTCGGGAGGCAGTCTCTTCTTTGCAAGGGTGCTTTATCTCCTCAAATCAAGGATAAGTGGGTAATCCTTCACTTTTGACTCTGTTCTCCTTCCTCCCAAAGCAGTGATGCTCCAAGCATCCTTGGTCAAATTCTCCCTTCCCTCCCTTCTGGTACATTTCAAATTTATCAGGATTCTAATCCTTGGGAAAGAGCAGAAGCCTAAAGGTAAACTGGAAGATAATGAAGAAAAAGATCATTACTTTTCAATGATGTATGTTCCAAATACAGGTAGACCAATCAGTGGTCAGGTATTGTTTACTTCCGTCCATTGAACATTTTCTACAAGCTAAGCACAAATACTTTTTTTGTTTTGTTTTTGAGAAAGGATCGTGCTCTGTTGCCTGGGCTAGAGTACAATGGAGTGATCATAGCTCACAGCAACCTCAAACTCCTGGGCTCAAGTGATCCTCCTGCCTCAGCCTCCTGAGTAGCTAGGACTATGGGCATGCAGCA